GAGAGCAGGAGTTCTGTCCATTGCATTGGTTCATGCGAAGACTGTCTTTTGGAAAAGGATGAGGGGCTGGAAAACGTGTCCATCCATAACAGACTGTGAGCAAGAAGGGCCACGGGGCCACGAGCATGAAAGGGCTCACACCTCTCCCTGACACGGCTGCTGTTGAGGCCGCGGCTCCTGATCCAACGTCTGCAGAGATGACTCGAAGAGCCTGCCCGGCACCTGGCCCGGCCAGTACTGGGAGTCATGTTTTGGGTATAGTGAAGAAAGCTGTATACATGGTCAGCAGAAGCACTGGTTTTGCCTTCACCCCTTCTGGCAATATGCTTCGAAACTGAGTGTGTGGGCAGACAGCGCTATCAGCCTTCATCACACCATGCCGGTTGTGAAAAGAGGTTCCCAAATCTTGACACTTGAAACATGTTTGTTTTCAGGGAAGAAAGGCAACAGCGCTGCACGGCCACACCTGGCGCTTTAGATGACATATATGTATGTATACGTATTACGCATCACACTATGCAAGCAGGTTCTAGCCTGTTTTTTTTTGACAGGTTCCCCGCAAGCCACAGTGTCAAAATCTTGCAGTACCCTAAAGGAATTGCACATAAACATTCAGGCCCATCACTTCTTGCGTTTTTTGGGGGCCTCCCCATTACCGTCATTACCCTTTGACATCTTCGCTTTCCTCTTCGCTGCTGCTCCTGGGTGCTCACCATTCCCTGGTGTGTCCTTCTTCTCAAATTTGAGGGCGTTCCTGCATGAAGGTTCAACTCCAGACACCCAAGAAAAAGTCGTCAGCAAGAGGGCACAAGAATAGTGGAACCCTGGATTGAGGCATCTACTTGATCTTGTCCATCATCGCCATCGCCTTGGAGCACCTGCAAACATCAAGGCCATATGAGTTTGAAGGCCACTCAAGTATATAATATATATAGTGTTTGTGTGCACAAGTTCTTGGTGAAGACGTGATGCGGTCAGTGTGTCAAAGTGTTTGTGTTTTTGAGCTTGGCACTCCATGGTAGCCTTCTTCATGCCCTGGTTGGCATCAGAAATGAACCTCAAGCCCCATGAACTAGATCAAAATCATTGAAGTTTTGTCTTGATCTTTCTTAAGTGCTTTTCGTCTTGAAATAGCTCACTCAGAGTTGCGATTATATATATATATATATGTGAACCAAGAAAGATTAAAGTTGACAAGAAACTTGTCTGCAAAGTTTGTGAACTCACCATTTGCCATGATATTGTGCAGGGTGTCATATTCAGCATCCATTTTGCCCAAAGCCCCCTGCAGAAGATTCGTGTTCCTGGCCAACAAGCGGACCACTGGCTGGACGAGGATGTTAGAGGCACAAGAAAGAAACAAGCCTTGCTTTCATTGAAACAACCCCTGCGCATATGCACTCAAATTGTTCAACAAGATCGACCTCTATATATATATATATATAATATCTTTTTGTGGCTTATGCCAAAATGACACCAAACAATTCTGTTCTTGGTATATATACTTGATGGGTTTTACTGCAACTCACACGTTTGATGGTTGAGTAGTTGAGTGAAGTTTCTGGGCTGTGCTGGCGCAAGACGCATACTTCTCACGTAGCTCTTTCAGGAGTGATCTCGCTTTGCCACACTTCTGCAGCATGCTGTCCAGGAATCGCTTCAGTGTTGCTCTAGTCTGGAAATGGGAATCAGAGTTCAGAAGCGTCAGAAGGCCGTTTTCAACAACTCAACTTGTTCCCATCACACACTAACAAAAACAAGCATTGCACCTCAGCACCCTGGGACACAGCCGCATTTGCAGTAGAACTCACTGCTTCGTCTGCTTTCTGGCGTGTCTCCGCTTGGTCCAAAGCAAAAAAAAGCTTTCTCGTCAATCTCAGGCCCAGCATCAGCCTTCCAAGCAGCGAGCGCAGAACATCGGGGTCATACGAAGAAAGGTGCAAAAGCACAACAACGCACAACTTGCATGTGTATAGCAGAATAGCATAACATACACCGCTAAGAAACATTTGGCCTTCATGATCTTTTTTTCCACCTGCTCTTCCGTCTTCTTTGTCTCTCGTTGGGCATGTTCCTTCACTACAACATAGTATTCCTCGACATTGTCATAGCGGTTTCTCCTGCCAGTTTTTTTTGCTTTATAGATACAAGGAAATTGTTGCCAAAATATCCAAACCAAATTCAACATGATAGCACACATGTATGGCATTCAGCAAAACCAGCCGTGTGTTTGACGTTCAAGTTCAATCATATATATAAGGCTTTACTATATACATGTGGAGATGAAGCCACGTAAACTGAAGCGCTTATAGGCCTTATGTGGGTATCCCTTTTAGCCTCACAATCTTTCTTGGCGCCGGCAATGCGGCTCCTTAGATACTGAGATTATGTGTGCACCACCGCAACGACTATAGCACAAAAGCGGAACAAATCACAGCACACCACGCTCAACAAATACATGCACCCATAAATGAAGCTGCAACCAAATATCGGACTCCAACCTTCATCTTTCATGTCCTTTTCTGACATCCACCGCTCATCAACCCACACAGTGAATGATTTCTTTTTGGAGACTATCAGCTCCAGCTTGCAGATGAAATCCTCCTATAAACTGTGGTTGCAAAGCAAAAGAAGGGCCGACACGCAGTGCAAAACAAAAGCTGGGAAACAAGTCAGTGGAACAAAACAAATTCAATCCGCTCCTTACTCCAGTTGCAGTCCATTAGCAACTGAGCCATTTCGTTTTGCTTCTGCGTTTTCCACTGCTCCACAACAAATTGTGGAACATTGTACTGAGCCTTCTTCTTGTGCGCCTGACACATTCGGCGAATCCTGGCCTTTGCAGCCTCGCGGAGCCTCTCCTGCAAATCGCCAGTGGAGGTTTGGTAACTGCATATTATACAATATATATATATATATACACGGTCAACCGTCCCATGTGTCGCTGACTTTACTGGAAAACAATCCATCAGGTTGCATGAGCTTGGTTCAGACTTTTAACTGCGGGATTCTGTTGGGCAGGTCTCCTGGCGAGTCATCACCTTCCCAGGCTTCTGCGCAGAGGAGGACGCCTTGCAGTCAAGAGGGCCGCGGGGCCAACCAATATAGCAATATCGTGGACAGAACACAGTGAATCCACTGGATGCCACCAAACAAGTCAAGACTCCAGTTCTGTAGTAAGAATGTCTTTGGGGATGAAACTTGAAGAAACGCGATAAAATATCGATCGATGTCTATAGAGCCTCAAGTGCCACTGGTTGTTCAGATCGAGCTGGTGTAGCCACAGGACGTTCTGCCGACACCTGCCAAAGAGGAGGGTGAACTCTAAGGCCTCAACTTCATATACAAGGGCTCTATGACAATGGCACCCTTGCAATGTGTTCAAACCATTGGTCCACAACTAAAGGTCTTGGTTCAGTCTGGAGAGCCTCCTTGAGCGCTGAAACACGCCCCGCCGCCAAGAGCTCTTCTGGAGTGGCCTCGACAGCCGACAGCAACAGAATGGACGGGCGAGGGCTTGCCTATACAAAGAAACTTGAACGGATAATTAGTCCAGTCCAATACTTTTTGGTTACGCACTCGCACAAAAAATCATCCTCAAAGCGTGGTTCCCTTGTCTCCCTGAAGCGCCTGCTGTGTCTCAGCTGTGGGCGATGCAGGAATGGGAATTGGTGAAGCCTCGACCGGAATTGGTGTGGAAGCCTGGGCCGTTATGGTGGAAAGTGGTTGGAGCATGGAGTTGACAGAATGCGTTGTCTATATCAAATTCTTTACAAACACATGATAAGAGTTTCACTCAGCAACAACTGATTTGGAACGATCTTCTGGGGTAGCAGGAGCACTGGCAGCAGCCTGTGCGGCACCAGGGTCGACCACCTGCTCTTGTAGCTCCTTGACAGGGTTAAAAACATGGGACTGTTGGCAACATGTGTATCATTGCTTTAAGGCAATGTATATATCCAAAACTTAGGCCTTGTGTCTGGACGTATAGATGTTTTACCTGACACTGAGAAAGACCAATGGACCACCAACAACAACAATGCCGTTGTTTAGGGCGCCATTGGGTTATCTGACTCTATAACAAAAGAAGGGCCCCATACAAAAACAACTCTGCAAGTTGGAGGTTAGGCTTGGTAACCCAAAGAGGTGTCCTTCATCATCTCTTCTAAGATGCGTTCTTCTTCTTCTGGAGTTTTTGCAGCAGACACTATCTGCTCTAACCCATCAGCAAGCGTCCCACAGCTCCACACACGAGATTGTTGGCCGACACTGGTTGCAGCCATGGGTAGACTCCTATGTATACACACAGGTCCAAGTAGTGTAGACCAATGAAATTCAACCCCTGGATCCCTAAAGCCAAATGCTTCGCCCTCAAAAAACAGTTTGAAGTACTCTTGACTCCAAAGCTAATGCCTTATGCCAAGGCTTACCTGTGGAAACCTCCCTTTGCTCAGCATTTCCCTCGGCGATCGCGATGACACCATTGCTAATTAGAGGTTGCCCCAGCCCACCAGCTGAAAAAGGGCCTAGAAACCCCTTCAAGAGCCTCCCCTGCACAACTACAAAAAACCCATAATTTTACTACGGTTTTTTACGGGTTTTCTACGGTTTTTTACGGGTTTTCTACGGGTTGGGAAAAAACGATGTTTTTTTAAAAAACGATGTTTTCTTTTGGGAATACGGGTTTCTACGTTTATTCTACGGGTTTCTACGCTTATTCTACGGGTTCTGCCACTGAACCGTACTTTTTTTCTCAACGGGCACACAAAAACCATTTGAGCACCAATAAAATAGTTACAACAACCCACATGTCCTGGTCAACTGTATCCCCCAAAAGGATAAATTATCCTTGCCCTGTGCTTAGAGAAGCTAAAGATTCTCTTGGAATTCCCAAACGCTGACTTGAAGCTTTACAGATCCCAGATTTCCTGGCTGGAAAGGATCCACTGGTACAGGTCATCTTCAGGGGAGGCTCAAATGGTGAGAGGAAGGCTGAAACATCACATCCGGGGCTTAGGAATGTGATCACGCCACTCCAGTGGAATCACTAAGTGCTTTGAACGTCTGAGATAGTTGAAGACGGGTTCCAACTCGACGAACTCCAGGTCACAGTGGTCACTCATGGCCTGGAATGTGTCCAAGGCCGCTGGGACATGTATGGGCAAGTGTGGGAGACCACGAGGCGTTCTCACCAAGTCCTCATAGAGGTCCACCACTTGGCGAGCAAATTGTGGAGTGTATTCCCTTAGATTGAACAAGGGCTTTCAAACAAGAACGTCTGTTGAATGACCTGGTCGTGTTTAAACAAACACCGTGCATATAAACAAACTGATGTAATTTTTCAGGGGCTGCACGGTTGCCGCCTTTGGTTGAGATCTTTTACTGTTTCTGCTGTCATGGAAACATCCTGTGGAAGCCACACCGAAGAGAGTGGAAATACAAAAAGAGTAAAGTCATGTAAAGACTGAAGGTATATATACATAAAAGGGAAATTCCAGGAAAGACTGTGTTATAGGAACTGGTTGTAGCGAACACAATTCACTCACTCGAGTCAATTGAGGATGCCCAGGAACCCCTTTCATTTATATATATATATATATAGGGTCGAGCTACTCTGTGCACTTCAGCTTCTTGGTGCCTTTCCAGCAAAGACGCCCTTCAGAGTCAAGATATTGTTCACAGCTTTCGGACTTAGGGGCTTTGCGCTTCCACCCAGACAAAACCCCTTTGTCCAACTTCACGATGACTGGGCTGTTACTGTAGCCGTAGTGCCTCTTAGGGGTTCTGGACAAGTAGTGCCCTGCCCACCAGGAACACTTGAAAGCCTCGGCTGACACCAAGGTCTGGTGGTAGACAAACCCAACAAAGCACCATTGCCTTTAGCAGGGTCAGTCAAAGTGTATATAGTGAGAGTGAGATATATATAATATCACAGATTGCCATTTCTCTCTCTCTATATATATATACCCTTAAGAGAATAGCTGTGCACAGAAAAGGTTGTTTGACAAAAAGTTCAAAGAAGTGGAACCGCGTCAGCTCCTTCTGCATTGAGGCATGCAGTCAAGACGTCCCTAAACATGGGATAGTATTCCAGGGTACTGAGACCTGGTTGTTCCAATATCCAAGACCCTCCAAGGGCTGTGCATAGAAGCACCAATAGCAGAGTCCTTGGACAAATAGAAACACCAAGATGTATATATGAACCCTTTGTTTGGCGTTCAAGAAACAGCGACAGCAATTGCCAAACTTGTTTTGGTGTGAACAAAGTTCAAGCATGAATCCTTTCACACATGGAATTTGCGGCATGAACGCTCTTGTAGTGTGTCCGCCCTGTGGACGAACACGGACACCGCCCAGATGTGCCCCGATTGACAGAGCACCAGGAGCTACACTTGAGCGCAAACATGCATAGGTGTTTCGTCCACCTGGTCTTCAATACGCATAGTAGAGCCAGCCTTGGAACATATAGACTGGGAGAAGGCCCGGGTTGAAACCCACGCAGGTTGAGACCCATATTAAATCAAGCAAAGGGTTTGCTTTGTTCTGTTGCAAGCCTTGTTTTGCAAGCAAGACACGCGAAACCAGAATCGGACAGAATGTCCATGCAGTTTGTGTTGTGCTTAGGCTTCCGTTTGTTCTCAATAGGGTATAGAATGTCAAGGCTTGCGCACTTGTAGCCTGCAAGCTTCATAAAACGTGTCAGGTTTCCACGTCCGGCATAGAACTCCACAGCGTCAAACTCCTGACTCGCATGGGCTCGGAGGATGTTTGGTTTGCGGGTGGGTGACATGAATCACCTCCCAATCACTCCAAAACCCAACCCAATCCTCCTGAATTGAAAGGTTGTGTGACCAAAGGATCAACAGTGTGCAGGTCACCATAGCCTTCCGACGGCAGCACTTCAGAGCAACCAACACTGTGGGTGAACAAGCATAATACGAAAGTTAAAGTGCTTGCAGTGAAATTATACGGCCATATAGCTGGCCTTTGGCATTCCCAAGGCTGCCATCCGATAAACAAGGGCATCCAAATCCGAAGGTTCCATGCCTACACTGCGGAGGTCTCCTGATCACACAATGGTTCTGCACCACTTCGTGAACCACAAGGCTGCAGAAGTCGAAGCCACAAACGTATCAAACGCTGAATGAGACCATCGACAAAAAAGTTGAATGCTTGCTCATGTTTGTACTCAGCCGTGAAATTCACAGATCTTGATCTATATACAAAGAGCTATATATAGTAGTGCTCTACTCTTGGGCCTAAATATAATATTTGAAGAATTCAAATGTAAATCAAACAAATTATTGTTTGAGGAAAACGACTGGCAAGAGCAGGAAGACTTCCCCTTCTGTCACAAGACTTCTTTGTGTTTGCTCACGCTGAAGCCCCTTCGTGTGGCATCAAGCACATGACACTCTTTCAAAAAATGCCAGCAGCACGAGGCTTCTTGTTGAACTTAGTGCGAACCCGGAAGACATCCCGGCGGGGCATGATCCCACCTCAATGGTAATGTCCATCAGTCATAGCCGCCCGCCATCGCAGGCCTACCGTGGCACGATTGTCAATCAGGAGAGATTGACTGCAGGGGGTGTCGGAGTGAAGGTGGTTCTTGGAAGGCTCCATCAGAAGTGCCAAGCTAAGCAGTCACGGGCAGGCGGGTTTGCAACTTTTTTCTCTGCCACTTGAAGCACAGCGTCCACGTTCTGTATGTATAGTTAAACTCTTCGACCCCAACTGTATGCACTTTGCTTGCTGAATAGGCAGGCGTGAAGCAAACGAACATGACTAATATATATATAGAACATGTATAAGCACCGTCTTTGAATTGTATATACACCGACAAAACGAAAAGGACAACAATAGTATACAACACATATATGCACAAATACCGGACGTTTCATACATATATATATATAGTTTTTCACGAGAAGCCACCCTCGCCCACCCAGCTCTAGGCATCAGCACCTACAAAAACCCCGTTCATGGAACATGAACCACTGCTTCCCTGGTGAGCAGCTGTGTCCCATGGTTCGAAAGCTAAGTGGCAATGGCACCGCATTGCCTCGACCATAAGGCCCTAAGGAAAATCCAAACTGATGGGAAGCTTCTGTAGCTCAGTCCTCTTCACTTTGGAACAACTGGCTTTGGCCAGTCCCATTGGCCAGGAAATGACAAGCAATGCGCCCATTCACTTTCAAGCGTTGGATCTCAGTGCCATTCTTCTCATACCCAGCTTGCTCCAAATCAACGCCAACTGCCTTGGGTCAACAGGATTTGTTTCGTTTGAAGGTGCAAGCGTTGGCCCTCCTTCATAACCCTTTATCCCACAACATTCCAGGTGTGTATAGGGCATCAACACCAAAGGGACGATAGTTTGTGCAAGCGTGTGTTATTAAAAGCGATCCTGTTTATATACTGAGAAGGGACAGGCACTGGGGGTAGAACAAGCTGCTTAGATAAATGCTATACATATATATAACAACTTATATAGCAGTATGCTGTCAGTTTGTTTTCTTTGGGTGTATAGGTCCACCAAAAAGTATCACTTTGATGGATGTCTTTTTTAAGAATATGTTTATTCAAAAATGCTTTTCTTGTTCCTCCCCTTTCACGTGATAGCCAAGAAACAGCGAGCTCAGCGCACCTCAACGCCACAGCAAGCTTGTGCCGGCTGGCCGCAGTGGAAAAGTTGAAAGAGAAATGATGGACATCCTGGTTTGCTGCCAGGATTTTGACACCGGCTGCATTCCTGGTCCAGTACTTGTTGAGCGCGCACCAGTTCAAAGGTTCCTGGAGAGCATTGTTCATGGCCTCCTTCATCTTGTCGTGATTGCCATCCATCTCCAGCTCAGCTGGAAACTGGGATGCGAAATCCATCAAAGCTTTGACAATCGGGTCTGAGCGAAGCGGGTCTGAAAGGAGAGCCTCTTCAGGCGACACATTCCGGCGCCCCCTGGACTTCGCCTTGGCCTTCGGCGCACGAGTCACTGCCTTGGCCTTTGCCTTCGCCTTCGCCTTTCCCTTTGGAAGAGCCTTGGCACCTGAAACAGATGGTTCCTCAGCAAGCCCTTCCGCATCCTTCTTCCTCCTACCACGGGTTGCCACTTTCTTGGCATCAATGCTTTCGCTTTCATTCTTGAGCGCAGCAGCTTCTGGCTGAGGTGTCTTGGTTCTGCGCTTGCGCGGCTTCTGATCATGATCTTTCTCAGTTGCGCTGGCTCCTGTCAAAAGGCTTCTCTTCTTTGAGATTCTTTTGGCATGCTTCCCTCCAGCATTCTTACCTTTGCCCTTACCTCTCTTCCCCTTTCGAGCCTTGCCACCTCGACCTCCACCCCTCTTGCCTTTGCCTCGACCTTCTTTTTTGGTGGCCTTGCTCCTCAACTGCTGATCACGTAAGACGAAGGTAACTTGTCCTTCCTCATCGGAATCATCATGGCCCCGCTCATCCGCATCCTGGCACGCGATGCTAGGAACAAAGTTGCAGTAACCAAGGATGGTGGCAACACGTGATGGAGAAAGAAAATTGCACAGGCTGACTTCTGTATATATAAGTTCCCACAAGTGTTTGGTAGCCACACAAAAAGTTGTCACTTCAGATGGATGATTTGGTGATATACCGCAACTGTCTTAACAGCACGTATATTGAGCTGCACACGCTGTCCTTCGGTTGGGCTTGGCCAGCCGATGGCAGAATTGCTTCCCCAGACTCCAAGGTCTTCGCATGCAGCTCCGGAGTCTGCTCACGCACATGTTTGGGTACTTTTCCTGAAGCAGTGGCATACTCCGCACGGCGAGCTTCAGCGGATGTCTGGGGTGAAGGCTCTGGCTTGGGAGAAGTCTCAGACTGAAGCTGTTGCAAAGCATCCTGCGCCTCCGCTGGTGCCAAAACCTGAGTCTCATGGTTGTCCACACCTGAGCCAAGTAGTTGTGGTGATGTAGACGTAGTAGGTCCTGCAACGAGGTCACGTTTCAGCAGTTTGCACATGGCCTCATTGTTGTAATGTGGCCGTTCTGATCGAAGTGGCGCAGGTGGATCTAAAATTTCAGTCCCAAAGGGGTGCGCAAAAACAAACAGTGAGATCGATTACACTTTATGTGTTTAGAGTTTTGAGACATCCCGGCGGTATGTTGCAACGATTACTGATTTTATTGCATATATATCACCCCACCCCGACGTAACATGTGTAAGGCCAAAAAAGTAATCGTGTGTGGAGCCTGGTGCGCAGGGGCGTTCCAAGGAGGGCGCAGCGGCAAAGCTTTGCTGCGCGTTCTTCCTCAAGCGGAGCCTCGAACACACCAAAAAGTTTGTACAAAAACACTGCGTTGGTTAGGCTTCCAAGTTGACTACATGTTTTAGGACAAGTGAACAATTCAAGTGTGTGGAGATGGGGCCTTTCTATATACCACGTGATGTTGTTCTTTGGCCTGTCACATCCTAGTCTCTTATATGTGATTTGTGAGACACCTTAGGATCGCACTCTTCCAAACGCTTCTTGACCAATTCCAGCTTCTGGCTAGCACCTTGAATTAAAAGCGACATGTTCTTGAAGAAGACTGGGCCAATAAATAGCCCTCACAAAAACGAGCTCCACCATACAATCAAAACATCCCTTTGTATGCAGCGCGAGTTAAAGCATTTTTTCAACGTTTGGTGTTCATATCGTGCTGTGCACTTTAGCTCAGTTTCTGACTGGCTTTCGCAGCGTCCGCAGGAGGAATAGCTGCAGACAATGGAGCTGCTGGAGCTTCAGGAGAGACCGGAGGGCGAGGTTGCTCAGTGTGCTCAGGTTGCAAACCACCATTTTCATGGGTAGGCTGAGTTTCAAACTGCTCTGGCTCAACGATCTCAGTAGGAATCTGAGCGCCAGCTCCAGGCTTTGAAGGACCCTCATGAATATCTTCACCAACAATCTCAACTTCAACATCTCCTGACCCCTCTTCCTCCGACCCGCCCTCGGAGTAATGATCCAGGTCAATCTCACCGGGCACCTGCCAATGTCAGAACCACATGTTGTGTATTTGTTGGATCAAGGACCCAATAACAGTGTGCAAGATAAAGGCAAACTATTTTGTATATAGATGTAGAGCCTCACATGAAGACTGGACCCTTTGAGATGGCCTCATTGCCCTTTTTAGCAGCAACTCTTTTTTCCTCCTTTGAGTTGATGTCATCGACGAGGGCCTGCGGTTGCCATGGTGTTTTCTGTGAATTGTTTACTTGATTGAAACAGATTACTCGAAAAACAGTGAGATTTTGTGAATAAGTTGTGCTTATGCAACTGGTTGTGTAAACGCTCAGTGCTTTGACTTGACAAACATTGATCCAGCGGGCCTGCAAACACGGATCCAGCTGTAGGCAGAGTTGCTGAAACTCCTTCACCTTATAGGACCAGTGCTGAATGGGAAGTCGGTTGAATTGATAGAGCACGGTTTACCCACACAATTTAAACACTTTCGACCCCATTCAGCTCAGCAAAGTGCACAACTTGTTTTACATAGAGTTTTTGTGAGCATCCGCATGAACAGGACGACTTATATATAATATGCAGGCTGCAGGGATGTTTACACCTTAATTGACAAGGGACCTTGCTCGGCTTGTGGATTCTGGTCTTCATCTTGATGAATGACAGAAACTTCCTCAACATCCAGCTGTCATGGATGACTTGAGTATCATCTTCTTGCCGCGAGAAGGTTTTGTACAGCAGGGCCAGTTGACCCCTCAGTGGCTCCACCAACGGCAGCGGGGCACCCGTAGTCTCTGCCATTTGCCCCAACAAGGGCAAGATCAAA